CGCTTTAGCATTACATTAATTAATAAAAATTGCAATATTTTTCTCTTCGAATCGTAACAAGTGTTGCTCTTAGCATTAGTCTAATGCTCATGCTAAGTCGACACTCCTACTCGCGAATGAGACAATATCGGTCTCCCCATTCACAGTAAATAAAACAAAATAAAATAAAATAATACCTATTATTCATTGAGACCATCGAACGATCTAAATAAAAAAGGATATATGCGAATACAATGATACTTACCAGTTCATTGTGATGATCAGATGACCTCAATAAAAGAACAAAAAATTATTTTATTGAATAATATTTAGCGTTTATTGGAATGTTGTGATGGCCGACATAAAAGAAAAAAGCTATTTATTTTTATTAATCAATAATTACTGTTTATTAAGATGATCAGACGATCTAAATAAAGAAAAAAAAATCTACTCTATTAAAATAACACCTACCCTTCATTGAGAGGGCCTAAACAAAAGAACAATATTTATTTTTATTATTTAATATTTACCGCTAATTATGATTAACATACGATCTAAATAAAACAAGATAGTCATTTTTATAAAATAATACATACTGTGAATTGAGGTGTTCAGATAATTTAAATGAGAAAAAATTGGATAAAATAATACTCACGCTTCATTGAGTTGATCGGACGGTTTAAATAAAAGAAAAGAACATATTCTTATCCATTGACACTTACCCGTTCATTATGATGACCACATGACCTCAATAAAGGAACACAATTATTTTTATTGAATAATACTTACCGTTTATTGAGATGTTACAATAAACAAAAAAAAAGAATATTTTTATAAATTTATGCTTGCCGTTCATTAAGATATTCAGACGATTTTGAATAAGCGAAAAAAAACACTTATTTTTGTAAATTAGTACTTGTTGCTGAAATTTGCAGAATCGCCGATTAATCGCGATTTATTGTGATGTCCGAAAAATCGCCAATTAATCGCGATTAATCGTTGAATTTTCCGGATATCGTGATTAATCGCCAAAAGAAACGCGATTTTAATGACATGGGATATGTTGCAACCACATAATATAATTATAGCTCATTTCTAATTTTTGGATATTTGATTTCATCAAGGTATAAATCTTACAATCAAATTCCATCGGTTGATAAAAAAATACACTGTTCAAATTCAATGATATGCCTATAATTTATGAATTTGAAATTTTGCATCTTTGTGATGATTAGTATTAGAACAAAAAGCAGTCACTCACTTAGGCATGGAAACATTTTTTTCTTCGTATTCAACACAATTAATTTATGCGATCATCTTCAACAATCTTGGAGAAGATACAGAGTTGATACGTGAACATTAACTTGTGATCAAAAAATATTCATACTGTAAATAGATGCGAACGGACTTCGAAACTTTTTGTTTGAACAGGCAAACCTCCTCTTATAATAGAAAACTTCGGGTTCTCTATTGTACCCCATTTATTTTCATAATATTCTTTTGAAAAGAGATGTTTAGGATTTTGAAATCCCATAAATCATGTTCGCCTCAGTCTTTTGAGAAATTCAACTCAAAATTCTAAAAATTAGGAATTTTTGATATAAATACATAAATTATAATTTTAATAGGATCTTCTATCACCTTCAACGCATCCTATCTTTTACCAAAGCGTCGCTTTACTCATTTCTCAAAATTTTACAGTGTGATGAAGTCTACAACTACGTATAAGCCGTCAAATAACAATTTTTTTTCTAAGCTGGATCATTTTCAATCAGATAAGATGTGATGCCAAATCAAATTAGAGAGAGAAATTGATTGATTGAATGTTTGTCTTAATATCTTATTCAAAGAATATTCTAAGAAGAGCATAAAAACAGAATGTTCGTTAATCTGTTTTACTGCTTCATTTTGTTTTTTAAGACTCTGTTTGTGGTCGATTCTTTAGATATTCAGCAATTTTCGATTATTTTGCGACCTTGATGAGATTATCTTTTAACTGCGGATAATTCTTTAAATAATTTTCATCAGCTGCAAGCAAAGTCTGTCCATGTTAAATGATTGCCAACAAAGTATACGCCAGCATTACCATATAGTTTACCCAAGGCTTCAAGATTCTGTAAATGTTTCGGCAGTTCATCTGCAAAAAATGTTTTTATTAGTTCTTCTCGCTTCGTTTCATCTGATGCCCACCGTACCGCTACATATCTTGTTACTAAATCATTAATTGTATCAACAACTGCATCAACTTTAGCTTGCTCAAAAGTATCTCTACCAGCTAATTCAAATTGTTTAGCGAGAAAACGAGCAATTGATAATGATTGTGATAATTTCATTCCATTAAATTCGAGAACAGGTATTTGACCTAAAGGCATCTCATTTTTACGCGACGGCCATTGATCACGTTCAACACGAATATCTTCAAATTTTTGATTAGCAACAGTAAATATTAAACGAGAAACTTCAGCACGACAACGTCCATTAAGATAGAACAGCTTATACGTTGACACTGATGCAATTGATATTTAACTGATATTTATAAAAGAACAGGAATATGTTATAGATGAAACATGGTATTTATATGAGACTAACAATGCTGTCGTATGCGTGTTCTTGATTCTTTTTGACCTATTATTGTCGACGAACACTTGGGAAGGACAAGAAAGAAAAAGAAAAAACTATTGATAATGCATATCTACCGTTAACAAGAAAATTTAGTTGACTAACTCAACAGACCAACATGCCTAGTCCGTACATAAAACTAAATAAATACAAGTTCTTGGACGAAAAAGAAAAATAAATATTGATAATCTGTTTCAATCTATCTTTACGTTTATTGCCATTTTGTTTCGTACAATCGATTGATAATAATCAATTCATGGCAGTATAATGAATCCAAAAGTATTGATCTATTGCTTTGTCTTCGTTCATCTTATTGAATTACATTTTAGAAGATTGTGATTGACAATACATAGGAAGAAGGAACATCTATTAAGCATTTCTACGGAATGAAAGAAATAATTTGATTTAGACCAAAAAATTAATTCTTTTACGATAGACGTATAGTATGGCAATGATGCCAATTTTCTCATTATTTGATTTTTTGTTATATCAATAAAAGCTAGGTCTTCATAAACGTAAACAAGCTATTTTAAGACTCCATACTCATGAATGTCAACTCGAAAGCTTTGAGGCTTTTCTAAGTTTTCATTCGATAGCAATATAGTTGAAAAGGACAATCAAATGTGCAATATCAAATCAAAACAACTTTTTTTTACTAAAATCGTCACGATATCGTCCTAAATATGAAAATCTATTCATAGATAAATTTTAGTTCAAAGTTTAGCAATTCCTTCTTTTCATAGCTGTTCAAGCGTAGATAGATTGTATTGCAAAAACAAAACGATAATAGCCTAAAAAAGAAGATGGATTGCTCCAAATATCATAAGTAATATTTGTATATTAACAGGAATAAAGTCTTTCTTGATGATAAATCACATATTGAGAGAGTTGAAAATTCGACTTTTTTTTGCGCCAGACGAATCGAGCTGAAATTTTAGGATATGAATTATGACTAATACTTACACATCCTGTGCAAGTTTCATCTTTATACATATAATGATTGCAGAGATATTTATTTTTATATTTAAGGGCCCAAAATATAAAAATAAATATCTCTGCAACCATTATTTGTATGAAGATGAAACTTTCACAAGATGTGTAAGTATTAGTCATAATTCATATCCTAAAATTTCAGCTCGATCCGTCTGGCGCAAAAAAAGTCGATTTTTCAACTCTCTCAATATGCATATAATCTTGAAAAAGAAATAATGACAAAAGAGAGTTGTGCAGTACCAATGCCTATACGACACACGTTTATTTCAATTAAAAAAAGTTCTCACTTCATCTTGAAATACAAAGTTTGACAAAGAGAACAACAACATTAACAATGCAATGATGAGGTCTTTGACATAGAAAATAAAAGTACCACTACACTGACTCACTTCTATGAAGCAGTCGCAGTTGCATCCTAATGGATTCGAATACATCATAAGTTAAAAGATCTTCAAAAAATCATAATGGACTACTTATCGAATAAAATGTTAACATGATATCAAACTTATTTTTGCTATAAAAGACATTTATTACAGCTATCATGAAGTTATAATTTCAAGCTGAATTTCAGACCAAAGAATTAATAATGCTCGAATTTGAGGAGAGTATCTATATACGGAACGTTTATGCATCTAAAATGACTCATTTGCTTCGACTGGAACTTCTAATTCATCCTTTAATAAAATCTATCTAGTCAGAACAAAAATATCAGGCTAACCTTTGAGATCAATTGAGCGGTTTTCTAATGGACTCTGTCGTAGTTTACATGCAATACTTCTTATGGATGCAGACATTTTGTATCAATAAAAGCACCAAAAATAAGTATATTTTCTTTACACATTTTATCGAGCTCCATCTAACGAGATTTAAATCATTGAAAAAACATTTTGTTCAAATATGTTCACATTAGTATGAAATAGTATGAGTCACAACCGACGATATTTGCAATAAAGCTATATTATTTCATTTCTTCTCACTATTGATTCATTGTTGTATCACTCGCTGCGCTAAGTTGTCAAGCATGTTTCTTCATCCATAAATCAGAGTCTGGTTTTGTTTGTTCTTTCCTTCATATTGACTCATAACCTTTAATAAGCAAACAGTGGATATATAAAATGAGTCATTTCAAAAACAATATCATTCTATGCAATGCTTTGAATCAAGTAAAATTCTTCATTTTCTACACGACAGCAAAAACGGCAATGTGTGCCATTGAAGGAAGTGAGTGCCGAAGCTTACATTAAATCGTTTTCTGTTGCTGTGACTATCAAGCAAATTTTTCAAAACGATGAGAAGACACCGATCGAAGCCGGCTACTATTTTACGATAGAATAACAAGCAGCGATTTACTCATTTGCTGTTCAGATTGATGATCGAGGAATCATTGCACAATATGTGAGAGAAAAAAAACAAACAAGCACAAAACGAATATAGCGATGCATTTCGGCAACGTCCTGGTGCATGTGTACTTGAACAAGATGAACACTCACAAGATAATTTTATTATCAATCTTGGTGCACTATCAGTTGGTAAAGAAAGCCAAATTTCTATATTCTACGTTTCCAAACTCGATCTGGTTCAAAATGGAAATCGAATTCGATTTGTTGTTCCCACGATTACTGCACCTCGATACAATTCAAACAAAGACTGTATCGGTCCACTAGGTGCTGCCACTTCGAAATGCGCTCAAACAGCTCCATATATAATCGAGTTTCAGTGGTATGTGGCTATGGGTGTGGGTGTGAGCGAATAAAAAAAATCTACAGGCACATCCCCACTCACCGACATCCCACACCCATACCTTTATATGGCATTCAAAACTACTGTATGCGTACATATAAAAATGGTAGAAGTACTTGTGTGATGGTCCGATTCATTCAATCCGCATGAGATACGAATACATGAGTAGTCAATTCTGATAAATAAACGAATTGAACCATGTTAAAGCCGATTACTCTTGTGAGGGTTCTTTGAAGATCTCTTGTTGACTGACATTCATGGATCACTCGAATAGTCATCACTGCAGATGTTTCCAGTATTTGACCTGTTTATTCTGGAAGTTCAGACTAATTTCAATTTTGGATATGTCGAAGTTCTACAAATCTCCAAATGCATACTTAATGATTTAGTTCAAAAAATGAACTATAGTCACTTGCTTTTCTTCTCTTTTAATAAACGTCGATATTACCGAGGAATGAATAAGTACAGTTCCTTCACATCTTCTAGATGACGTCATTGTGTCAAAATTTGATAACGAATGGTGCATGTGAACCTAACAATAGCAATGCAGCTTTTTTCAAATGTGACAAAAATAAATCTCGACGGCTATCCTGTTTTCAAAACGTTGACTCTACAGCAGGCAAACTAGAGGAATGGTGTGTTCGAAATTCGAACGAAGGCACTATTCATATGATGTCTCAATGCTTGTTCTGATTCAGAGAATGGCATCGAACATTCCGCTGTAGGCCGTGAGACATACACCCACGCCGATACACTCCACACCCACACCCTCGGGTATACCCGATGATAAAAATTTTCTCAATCAAACTGGGCATATTGTACATGCTTTCGTGGAATGGAATATGACTGTATTTTATGAATCGGATTAAATTAGTTCAAATTTCATTTTTGTGAGAAATCGTGCAAAATCGATTGGCTGATTTTTCATACTTGGTAATTACAAGAAGCAGTGAAAGTTGTTCACAGATGATCACATTACAGTTATTTAATAGTAAACTTTCAAGAAAGTATTTTTGACCTTTGACTATTTACTATCGTACGTATGTTCATTCGTTAACTGGCCCCGAAATGAAGATATATTATTGAATTTTTCGATTGTTTTTAGCTGAGCTGATGATGGTACTTTTCCTGTTGGTGATTGTGCTTCCTTAATGCGTTGTTCTTCTTTCCATGCTCGAATTTCTGTTATTTGTCGAGCACAATTTTCTCTTGCATCAGCTGCTGGAAACTGTAACTTTGCTAATTTTTGAAGTCTCATCATTTGTACAGCATGGTAAAGTGCTTCGTTTTTCGGAATCTCATGAGCCGATAATGAAAGTAAATCATCTAAAATTTCTTGTAATTTTTGTCGTTGTTTTGCTTTATTTCTACAACCATACCAAGGAAAAGAGATACAAAATTTACTGTCAATGTATTCGTATAATGATTGAATTAGTAAATATAACCAATCATTTCGACCTTCTTCACGACATCTTATTCTAGTAATATTATTTACTTTGCCAATCACATTAGCTGCTTGATTCACTATTCGTTTTGATGTGTGAAATTCTAGAGATCCTCGGTTGTATTCGCGCTCAATAATCGACATAGCCAAACTAACTAAAATCTCATTGAAGGTAAATTTATTTGAATCTGATACGAATATGCATCTTGCTAATATGGATTTTTCACTGATCATCATAAGAGATTTTTTAAATCCTTGATAAAATAATATTGCACATAATAATCTACCAAACTGTGAATTCAATTGAATTATATCTTCAATCTGTGATGCGCCGTGCATTTTATTAATACGAATTTTATTTTCACAGGAAGGTATAACTTCACTCTGTTGATTTATCTTCAATTGAGCTTGCAACTTGAATGGTAAATGAGAATCGGCTAACAAAGGAGACTTACTATTAATCACAATTAATCGATTACCAACTTCGGAGTTCAAAGTGGATTTATACACATATTTTTTACCGTAAACAACTGTCATACAATGTTGAGAACATGCATCGTCCGTGTCATCGTAGACTACTTGATATAAAAACTTATGATCTTGTTGTTTTTCATAATCTGTTCTAAGTTCATTGGCCATCATATTTAGTTTCTTGGTATTAGACTGTATGCATCCAAAGCCTGACCAAAGATGATTTGAACCTTCACATTTAGTTTTCTGTTTTTTGTCAATAAATTGCAAATTGTTGTAATCGAATAAAGCAAAATCAAAATCATTTGGTAGACAGGTACCAATACAAATAAAACCAGCATTCTCGGAAGAATTCATATGGTGTAAAAAAAATTGAGATTTGATTACATTGAACGTTGATTTAGGATTTGAATAAATAAAAATAACCAAACTTGCTGCATTTAACCATTGTATTTCTGGATGATGAAATACGCCATATCGTTCAATATCCCACATTTGACTTGAATATTTAAACAATTGAAATAATTTCTGGTATGCAAGATATTCAATTCGATTAGTTTGAGAATTCGTAACTAGAAGTACATCAGTTTTAACATTTGGATTAAATTTTGGTACAACCCGAATGTTATCTGTACGCTTTTCAATTAGTGTATCACGTAATAGTAGATCGATATTCCAAAATAAACTTTCATAAAGTTGATAAGAAGCATCGGCATCTAAACTAAACGCAAAATAAATACTCTTTGTGGATTTAGGTGACAGTTTTTCATTGATTTTATAGCGACCTTGTCCATCGGGCGTTATTCGATATGAATATTCTGCAGTTGCAGATAAAATTTTTATTAAAGAATGAGTATAGAATAAAAATTCTATTGAACCAGCGGAATCCGGACATGTACCGTACGAACGTGTAGAAATATTAGTAAAATTTACTATTATTGTCGCTGGTTCATTGGGACCTAGAAAAGTTGGAATTTGAATATTTGTAATTTGAATAGGATATTGACAGGTTAAAGTAGTTGAAACTTGACTAGCAGTAAATAAACGATCTAAAAGATTAATTTCTGATGCTATTGTTACGGGTAGAATGTACGGTTGATTGATTGAAACAGTCGATACGGCATTCAGATGGCATCTAAATTGATGAGAGTCTATTAGTATTTGATTGATATTAGCGCCAGTCAATACACTAACGTCTTTGATATCGTTAGAAATATATTTCGTAGATGAAAATGATAATATAGATCCGCTAGGCAACTTCATTGCACCATTATTTGTCCATTTAACATTTGTAATAAAAAAATCTGAGTTGGGCTCGTAGATTTCATCATCGTTTTCATCAGTAATAGTGTAACCAAAAACAGTAGCATGATATTTATCGGGTCCAGTTTCAATAACGTTACCATCTATACCCACTACAGTATATTGAATTGAACCATCGCTTGCAGCACGACCATCGTTACCATTGGGACCGTCATTACCTGCAAAACCATAGCTGCCATGCCTACCGGCAGCACCATCTTCACCATCTGCACCGCATAAACTAGCAGAGGTACCTGGCCAAGCTCTGCTACCACTACCACCATTACCGCCATCTCCACCTTGACCGCCAACACCATAGCAGCCACCTTTTCCACCATTACCACCTTTACCTTTCATTCCAGCCCGACAGTCTAGTTCAATTAACATCAACAATCGAGGATCTGCAGTTCGAACCTGGACATGACCACCAGCACCTGCATTTCCTCCATCTCCTCCAGATCCGCCGTTCCCGCCATTACCTCCACAACCACCGTTCCCTCCCGATCCACCAGGACCTCCTCTTTTACCCAAAGCACCTTGATTGTAACATTTGGGCCCATCTTTTCCATCACAACCACGACCACCACTGCCTCCGTTACCTCCGTTACCTCCATTACCTCCAACGCCTCCATCACCTCCATGGCCTCCTACAGCCTGAACAAGAATGATCCCCTTCGTTTTTGCCAATTGAAAATCATAGTTGGCGTCATTATGGAAATGAGCGAGATTCCAGTTAATACTAAAGGACTGTTCTGATGAACCATATAGTATTTCATATGTTTTTATTTGCATATTTAAGTTTTCAACTGCTCCATTTAAGCGGATCAGTGCATGCCGAGAATCTGTACCAGATTGCCCTGATTGACCGGCAGATCCATTGTTACCAGCACCACCTCTACCACCATTTCGGCCGTTTAATCCATCTTGCCCAGGCACCCCGTATGTACCATCACTACCGTCACTACCAGGATTACCATTTGCACCTGAGTGGCCACTAATAGAAATTCTCTTATGCGCAAGCTTTGTTAAAGCTCGCTTACTAACACTGTTAACATCGAAATGAAAATTTGGTACAGGAACTTCCTTCAGCATACTCATTAGACCATGTTACCTAAAATAAATTAGGCATTGTATTTTTCAGGCAGAAAATGACTCATTGATTGCTTATTTGTGTCAGGTAAAGTTGAGCTTTCGACAAATTTAAACTGTAGCTTCTCAAAAGAGATACTTTTTCGAGTAATACTCAGCTACTTAATAATTAACTAGCTGATTATTTTGTAAGAAGCTTTCTGTTTACACACTATTTTATGTAACTACTGTAGCTATTTAAAAGATTCTATACAGCTACTAACTTTACAGTTTAAAAGATTGGATAGATATACAGATATCATGCTCCGTACAATCTTTATTTATTATTGCTTCTGTTTTTTCTGTAGTCTCATGCAATATGATTCTATTTCAACAAAACATTATTTTATGAATTTATTTTAACTTATTTTCTTTTCATGTATGATTTCACCGAAGGATGGGTGTGGATGTGGTTGTGGGTTTTGTTTATTTGCTCACATCTACACCCACACTCTGAAATAACACTACCACGAGGATGTTGATTCATCATACATCTTTGTGAGGGTGGTGGTGATGATGCAATCGATTGTTGTAATGGTATCTCATATTTGTTACTTCTATAACTTATTGGCGATATGAATCGTTGAATAAGTTGAGTGATAATTGGATCAAATTAGAATAATATAATGAAATTAATTTGATGCCTGATTTAATTGAATGTATTTAAATTAATCGAAAGCAGACCGACCTATATGTCTATTATACAAGTCAATCTCATGTTCTCAACTTTTGCTTTTCAGCAATCGACCAAGTCGAAAATAAACAAACAATAGAATAAGAATGAAAAAATGTACTTCGATGAAAATGATTTAAAAGAATGCAGTGTTAACGGGTGGGCCGAAAGTTCTGAGACAAAATGGTCGTTCATTTTTCTCTACCTTAAAAGTATCCTAGATCAATGCGAAAGATGGATAAGGATCAGAATTTAATGCTCTTTCCGAATATGAGTTCAGAAATTCTGTGTCTATGTCTGTAAGAGACAAACAAGAAAATCGTTGTAGGGCATAAAAAAAATACTCTGGACAAAATGGTTGAGTCGAGGCTTTTGGAAAATATTTGTTTTATTTTTGGCCTACGTAAAAGTATTGTAGACGAATTACAACTACAGGAAATTAATAGAATTTTGTGCACTTCCTGAACATGGTCTCAAAAATTTTGTATTTGTGTCTGTACGAGAATTGTGAGAAAAAGTACGAACATTCCGGAAAACTGGATTGGTTCATGAACACATTGACATTTGCTTTTCTTGTGAGTCCTCTGCGAAGATGCTAAAAATGGTTGAATATAGCGGTTTTATAGAGCAGACAGTTCTCTAAAAATTGTGATGTCGAATTTCAATATAGGTTTTACGAAAGTAAAACTATAAACATTTTCTGAGAAGCGATTTCTACGTGAGATGGATTTCAGTAAAAACGTGATTTTTCAAAAGCAAGGATAATAAGAAAACGAATATTTAGATGCTTTGTAACAAAATAAAAAGAAACTGCAATAGCGCATTGTGAAGGACAGAATTTGCTCTACAGTCTGATATATGAACCAAAGTTACAACATCAAGTTTCGAATTGAAACAGTAAAAATAAAAAAATGTATAAAACATATTTTTGTCCAAACTAATTTTTAAAGCAATTCAATGATTCATTCACTGCTTCCAAACAAAAATAGACACCGAATTTTCGGAACTTATGTTCGGAAAGAGCATTAAATTCTGATCCTAATCCACCTTTTCGCATTCATCTTGAATACTTTTGAAGTGGTGAAAAATTTACAAACATTTTGTCTCGAAACTTTTGACCCACCCGCTAATTTCGTCGGCGTGTTTCGTATCTTTTACAAGATAGTAGTCTTCAGGGCTAGAGGTGTATATCTACAATAGAAGAAAAAAATGATTATTATCATATATTAAACTGAAAAGATAACATGAATATAGAAAGAACAAAAATTTTTAGGTTTATTTAAGATAAGGAGAAGCTCAGCGAATTCATCCGTTCATGCATTCGATCACCATGAAGGACTTTGTGTTCTAAAATGCAAAAAATATACTCACTGCTACAAATGTTAAACATTGATTAATCTTTACTTGTGTTGGGTATGATGTTTCTCTCTATGATTTTGAACTTGTTGACGGCTATTAAAGGATTCCTTTATTCCTTCTCTATGTTCGTTTTTATTTCGAATGACTTGAGTCAAGAAAAGGTAACGCGATAAAAAAAAGAATCTAATAATATGAACAGAACAAAACAAGCATTGATAATAACGGAATATGTGATGCCATATAAGGTATATGACTGTAACATACCTCCCCAACGACGGAAATGTGGGTCCATACACATTAGACGAGGAAAAAAAATAAGAGAAAAGTCAAAGTAGAATAAGAGAAAAATAATTGTAAGATTGCTGATATAAAGTGAAAAATAAGAGAGGAAAGAATGATTAGATACAAATTTAAAAGAAATATTGGATGGTGCAATACTATGATAAACGAGAAAAATGAATGCGATGTTTATAGCGAACAATGTATAAATGAATTAAAACTTGGGTTGTTGTAAAGGAAGTTCAGCAGAAATAGGTGGGCCCATAAGAGCAAATAGAGAATAGCAAGGGCGAGGTGACAATTGATTTAACCCGTGCAGATGAAAACTATTTTCCATGGAGTCAAGACGTTGTAGTACATTTGAAAGAGCGTTCACCATTGAATGCATTTGTGTTATTTCGGATGTTTCTAGGTTTGTAAGTGTAGGAATGTGATGGCGTCGAGAGGATAGTCTCATTCGGTGATATAAAAAAAATGATAATGATGATCAGCATAGGGAGAGCAACACCAAATGTTATAGTCCCAGGTTGAAAAAGCACGATCGTAAACGGTCGTATACGATGCAATACGATGCTATACGATGCTCGTAAACGACCGTTGAATACGACCATCGTAAACGACGTTCGTTTACGATCGTATTTTTTTCGTATTCAACACCAAGTAATTTTTATATAATAATATTCTTTTTACATTTAGATTTCTTACAACTGCACCATCAACAGTATGTTTTTTTTCATGAAACGTTTTTTTAGTATTTAGATTCATCCCGATGGCACAACAAACAGTAAGTATATGTTGGAGTCAAAATTAAAATTCAGTCAAATTTTGATTTTGTTCAATATCACGCCAGTCAGAATTCAAATTTTAATTTCGACTGGACGAAATTAACATTCTTTGTTTTGATGAAAAGAAAACAGTAAAGAAAAACAAAAAGTTAAAATAGTGGCAACTTCTTTAATTAAAAAAAAAATTATTAACAAATATTAAATGAGTATGGGTGCAATAGATTCTTATGGGAGTGTCAATTTATATTTTCAATTTAATTAATGCATAAATAAAACTATCGATAATTTTAATTTAAAATTTAGACTATTTTTTTCATGACTTAAATTTAAAAATCAGTTGAAATTATCATAATTTATATTTAAAATAAAGTTTTATTTCTTTTCATAATTTACATCTAAAATAAATTTAATTTTTTTTTCGTAATTTAAGTTTAAGAGCCATTGTCTATAAGATTCATGAACTTTGGGAAGTCAGACTCGGTGCTTCTCATTGCTTTTTCTTCTTGATGACGACAATCCGTACAAATATTTCATTCTGAAATATCGAATAATCAGAAATAGTAATGAGCAGTCTAACACTTAAAAATGAAGTTACTTATGGGAAGCTTGCACCAATGTTTTGTTGTAATATATCGGAAAAGATTCTGAGAAACTGGTTCTGAAGCAATCGATTTGTTAGTACAGTTAGGATGCTGACACAAACAAAGTGGTTTGTAATAAATTCCGAATTTGTATCGATGTTTCGCACAGATATCTCGAATATCAGTTACTTCCACATTCGATAAGCCACAATGTGAAACAATTAAGTTCAGTTCTGAGTTATAACCTAGTCCTACTGTTACATTTGATTTCAGTTGATCAATTGAAAACACCTCTGAACTTTTTCCCTTTAGGCTTGGACCACAATCGTGTAAATGATTATTAAAAGAACAGTTTTGAAATTTGGAATCTTGACCTATCGTCATTTTGTTTAAATTTCAACTCAAATTATAAATGGTTACTATTAAGAACATAACTTGTAACGACTTTGAAAAGTGATAGATGTCATCCTCAAAAACAAACGATTTTCAAGAAAAACCTATTGTTTGTTTCCGAGGCCATATTACGTGCAGAACGAAAAGAAATTCAGGCATTTTCTCTTTTTTCTTCCCTCACACATGAATCTTGAATCGTGAGTGAGCATCATAGCACTAGTAAGAGCAAAGAAATACCTGTACAAAATGACTAAAAAGTAAAGAAAAAACAATTTGACATTCATTAATGCATTCTTATATATAGCAGTTTCGTGTATCGGTTGCTATGCGATTGTAGGCGTAGATGAATGCAAGACTAACTCTATATACGTAAATTTCGATATAGATTCTAAATCTGTGATCAATTTTGAGCTGAAAATGTTTATTGACTGAATAAAATAGAGATTAATTGCTCATTTTGTGTATTTTTATACCTATTCTAGACCATGATGTCAACATTTTTTCGACATAAAGCAACAGCGCCCACAAAACTAAACATAGATCCTAATAGTAGAAACTGCGCTCTATAATCTGTGATAGATGGTTTTTCATTGCACTTTTGGGAAAATTAGCGCGACGTTTTACAAAATTTTTGAGTGATATTTCTGAATATTATGACTTAATCATATTACAAAAAAAATTCTATAAATGTTTTTTTAAATTGTTCAATTACATTTTCTCTTACGAGGGAACATTCCCAACTGTTAATCACCGATCGAAGTGATATTTTTCCCATAAGCAGGACTCAATGAGATTAGGAAAAGCCTAAAATGATTCGTCCCCATAGGCCTTTCTTCTGAAGTTATGACCATTTTACGAACTTTCTGGCTTAAGGCAAGCTATTCATAAAAAAGCCAAAAA